CACGCATATTCATCGGTTCCTTCGTTTGTCGCTGATCAAACTTCCTGCATATTTCACATTTAGCAATCAACTGTTTTATCTGTTCTGACAAACCCGGCCAATAATGTCTCCCTGCCGCGGCTGTGACATCCGTTGGTACCGGCGTGAGAGCAATGTATCAAACGCACAACGTTTTGTTGAATCGCTTTTAGTAGGACCAACCTTTCACCACGAAAAATCCGTTCATCGTGCACAGTTAGTTCATCTCGGAATTTGAAGTAGGGCAGTACGTCCATCGGGAGGGTACTTTTTGCTTTCTGGCCAACCACGAGTGATAACTCCTTTGAATTCTTGTATGCTCGGATCGTCAATAGTTGCAGTTCGTATGTGAGACATCTCGAACTGCGTTACCGCCAATGCAACGTTCACGGATTTCAGCTTTTGTTTCTGTTCTGTGTCGGGTAGTGTGGCTCGTGACGACGTGTCCACCACAAACATGCGTTTACCTTGTTCATAATGCAGTTCATAATTGTATTTCTGTAGACGTATTAGCATCGATTGTAACCTCCTTGGTGCTCTGTGGGGAGTGGCTTATCCACAATCATGATCAGTGGTTTGTGATCTGAGTATACATGCGTGAGTCGACCAAATGTGTAATCATTAAACTTCTCCAGCGTATACACAATTGCTAGCATTTTTTCTCCATCTGGGCGTACCTTTGATCACAGGCCGTTAGTGTCCTACTCCGGTAATCTAATGGACGGCCATTTTGAAGGAGCGCGGCACCTAAGCTAAATTGACTGCTGTCACATTGTATGCACATAGGTGCATTGGGATCAAAGTAAGCCAGCACCGGGGCTTCTATAATAAGTTGCTTGATGCGATCAAAAGCCGCTTGTTGTTCTTGTGTCCAAAACCACGGTTCTCCTTTGTGCGTCAGACGCCGAGTCGGCCGCATCAATTCCACTAGTTCTGGGAAAAATCTACTGAGATAGTTTATCATTCCATTGAATCGTGATACGCCTTTTGCATCGGTTGGGGGAGGCATTTCTACAATCGCTTTTACCTTTTCCGGGTCCGGTTTGATCTCTTCACTTGTTAGTACGTGACCGTGAAAGCTGACTTCCGATTGACAAAAAATTAGTTTGTCCTGTTTCAGCTTGACTCCGTCTCGTATACAACGTTGTAAAAAGCCTTCGAACCGTCTGTTGTGTTCATCTGCATTTTTGCCAACAATTAGAATGCCGTCCGCTACGCACAATGCACCGGGTAAATCATCTACCGCTTGGAGGATTCGTTTCTGAAAATTTTCACTTGATACTTTCAAACCGAACGGCAGTCTTTTCCAACGATATCGCCCAAGTGGAGTGCCAAAAGTGGTCAAGTAGCTTGATCTATGGTCTAGCTCTAAATGCCAAAATGCAGAGGCTAAATCCACCTTCTTGAAGTATTTTGCATTAGCTAATTCCGGCAGTATATCGTCAAAAATGGGTAGGGTGAAGTGCGCCCGTCTTAATGCCTTGTTTAATGGTTTCGGATCGATACATATTCTCAATTCTCCAGACTTTTTCGTCACCACCACAACCTGACTCACCCAGTCCTTTGGTTCATCAACTTTCTCCAAAACGCTCTTTGCGATAAGGTTATTCACTTCGAGCGAAAGTTCCTCTCCAACAGCAAGTGGGATCCGCCGCATTGGTAAAACAACGAGCTCGGCTGCGTCGTTTATGTGAAGTGTAAAAGTTCCTGGTAACTTTCCCAGTTTTCCATCGAACACACCCACCAAGTTCAGTGTGCTTGTACGACGTTGTTTTTCCTATTTACGTGGTTGGACTTTGCCTACCCAAGACACACAGGTCACGGATGTTGGATCGACCGGGTATCTGGGCTGGTTGGGTATACGCTGTATGCAACACTGTCATTTCAATAACCAGTAATGATTTAAACTGACTATCCTTCAGACTTCATCTTCCCGGTCAATGATCAGTTCATTCAGTAAACCATTTACTCGGAAGCACTGGACTCGATTTTCGCCCTTATTAGAGCTCATCAGTAGTGCATGAATGAGCTGGTTGGCACAGTGACAGCACATACACACACACACACACCGGAGTTCAATGCCCAGACGGGACGGTAGATACGCTGACGAGCTCTACCTAGAGCGAAACTCGAGTCTAGTGCTTCCGAGGTTGATTGGATGAACTGAGGATTGCGCATGAAAGTGAAGTTCGAAGAATAGTCAGTTCAAATCAATATCAATTATACCACACAACTACTTATAAGTAACTGTGAGGTAAATGCGAATTATCAATAATCAGTTTTGATCTTGCGGAGACCAAATCACATTGATGGAAGGTATCACACTGAGAAATGATGAACAAACCTGTTTGTGAATTTAATCGGTTTGAGTGACATTAAATAATTATACGGAAATTTCAAAACAACACTTACAATAACAGAGTTGAGGAAATGAAGGAAGAAATAACTGGTCGAGTACGATATATAAACAGACGTACAAAAGTCATTATCCTCGAGATTCCTCTGACGTATACTAGGTGGAGCTTTTGAATTATAACTCGTCCAGTACTTAAGTCAAAACTGGTACATACAGATCGTGAACTATTCTTAAGCAACCTAATCCAGCAACTGCGTATGAGAAAAATTCGTGCGTTAGATGAGCCAATCAAAGACAAGCTTGTCTATTACGCAGTTTACCCAGTCATTGCCGAAAAAAAGTTATTTGAAAAACTATTGCCCCTTCACCAAATCAAACCGTCCGGACCGATTCAAGTGTGGATGCTCGGCCGTTTAAATAAACATCATAGAGGTAATCATGGAACTGAACAGTCGAACACATCCCGGTTTGATTTAAGGAAAAGATGGATGATTACAGTGAGGCTGTTACGTCATCTACGGGTCAGAAACGACCCAGATGTTCGGTTATGTAACAACTACTTGAACAAAAATATTGGATCACTCCGGTTGATGCATCTCAGATCATTTACAGCTGAGCAAACATGAAAGTATTGAAATTTACTTGATCTCAAACGATTCATAAGCACAAACCCGATCTCTGCAAAAAACGCGAATGGTTATTCACGTTAGCTTTACCTTAGTGCGTAACCTTCACGCTTTTTGGCTTTTTCGTGTTGTTGAATTGCGTTGTCCGTTGTAATTGATTATATTGTTTGCTATTTCATTGACTTTAAAACTGACCTCGACTGCAGCATGCAACTGTACATATGCGGCGAAACTATCATAGTTTCTCTATTCAAAAGATAATACTACCGAACCCTGATCACATGCAATCTTCAACCATTAATAAAAAAAGTTTTTGTTCTCTGTTCCTAAATGAACTGACTCACGCTTATCTGTTCCACAGTGAGATCAATAAAATTCTTTCCATCCCGAACGGGGATGAGTGATTTGGGCCCGGAACAGCCCATGGATGTGCCCAGACCGCCGTTGAGTTTGATCACGACCAGTTTATTGAGCAACTTGACCGCCTCGGAGTGGCTCGGTTGCACCAAAGTGTCATATTGTTTGATCTGATATTTAATGGTGGGCGGAGGCGATTGTGGGGAGGACGAGGAGGAGGAGGAGGAGGACGGGGAAGGGTTAAAGAACACCAAAAATAGCCATAGTCAGAATTGTACTAGGCGGAATCGTTGAATGCTTCGGAAGTTTCACATTGTGAATTGGTATAGTACAGTTGCACTATGAACGATCACTTATGCAATAGGTGAGAGAATCGATTAATGCAAATAAAATTAACTGAAAAGATAAAAGTTTATGGGTTGAAATATTACCAACCGTTAGGACTGAATTGCATGCTCTTTTCCAAACAATAAACAAACAACCGCATACACAATGTCAGGAGTGAGTGTGTATTTCTCCCAAGGGTTTTCAATTAATCAGACTGTGGACTCTTTGAAAAGGATTCAGATGTTATAGGCGCTCAGTGAACATCCAGTCAATACACTGAACGTCTGTTGTTTAATCACTGTATCAATGACCGAAATAGAACGTAAGATACTTGGTTCCCTTTATCCAATTCTTATGCAGAGGAATCATGCAGATATTGCGAGGTGCAAGATCCCCAGCTAAAACATATTGATCATTACAGCTCGAATCGAAACTGTAGGCCAGTTCACCTCATTTTTCCGTATAAACTCGCTATTATATTCCCTAAAAACGAGCTACGGAGTTACGGAATGCATGATATAATACGGTATACCGAATTCCAGAAAGTAACCATCCAATAAAACCCAGTTAGAGCACAAATTGTTCAAGCCAAGGGAGTGGGGGCAAAATCACGAAAGCCCACCCCCACCCCCTTTGTATCAAATATCTCTCGAAACAAGAATGCTAATTGCACCTGACAGTATAATGGTTTGTTCTGTTTGAGGATTTAGTCGCAAACCAATCTATGAGTGCTGGAATCATGTGACTTGTCTGCGCTGGAACACGTGATGCATTATGGTCATCGAGTCTTTCTTGGTGACCTTCATCCCTCTGATTCCCACTCCTTACAGAACGCACACACACTTCAATCCAAAGTCAAACAGAAAGAAATCAACTAATTTTGAGAAAAATGAGAACTCCAAATTAAACCAAATGTGACCCCATTTGGTATCAAACTGCAGGATGATGGAACAGATCAATGAGTTTATTTAAAAGATATCTAGCAATGTGCGCCTGAAAAGTGAATAGGTCATCCTAAAACCCGGCGAAATAAAACGAACGCAGAATTATTAGTCCAGCTTCCAAACGAGGTAGACTATAAGAGATCTCAATTTGGTAAACAAGCTCGTTTTCGGTGCCTCATTTACTAGCCAAATACAGCACTCTTTTATAGGTTACAAAATCATATAGTTCAAGGAAATAGAAAAGTGAAACAGGAGGGGAAAATAAGCTCCAGCACTTTTGAAAGAATAAGACCAGTTGGTACGCACATACCACGACTCTACGGTCTACCTAAACTGCACAAACAAGGATTACCTATGCGCCCGATACTGGACATGCACGATTCACCTTACCACGGAATAGCGAAATGGCTAGCTGAAATCTTGGAGCCCGTCAGAAGGGAAACCCCCCCCCCCACCTCCCGGATTGTGCGTCAGA